AGGAAAAAAAAATATAAAAACATTTCCATTGCAGTTTCCATGGAAACCAAACCATAATATAATAAAATAAAATCGTGATTTTTGAGGAACACGGTTGACCTCATGCCTGTCTGCAACCAAAGTCTTCACTGTGAGGTCAGCTTGACAGCTGCCAACTGTCTGCAGAAGATAGGATGACAGGAAAACTAAAGTATAAAATGCTGATTTAAAAAAAATGCTTTGCTTTCATCTGTACAATAAAAATATGGTCAGCATAAATTAGATGATAAATTATAGACTGTATTTTTCATTCTATGGCAAAAACCCAAAACATGATAAATTCATGAAAGACATTTCTTCCTCTGCCTTTAATGGCAGAGTCTGCAGTGACAAAGCTGAAGTCATTTTGGTCAAACTTTGAAAGTATTTAATGAAAATTAYGCACAATTTCATGCAGTTTCAGCGAATAACGTCCCAAATTTTAACTCAATATGTGTATAATTATATAGAAATGTGGCTGATTTTGTGTAGGCTAAGGTTGACTAGCTGAAGAAGCCATTTTTTTGCACATGTGTGTGTGTGTGTGTTTATGGAGGGGAGGGGGGTTCAAATATGAATTTGTTGGAGATGTATAATATCTATTTTCTGAAATTGTCTTTGATTTTTGTTCAGTGGTTTATGCGGTATTTTGCTGTGTCGGCCATCTTGAAYYAATGCAGTGCACTGTAAGGTGTGATGATTAGTCTCTGGATGTTTYATTAAAATGAAMACATTGGTTYATRAGTMTTTTTGAAAAATATGAGCAAYATATAAYTCCATTAGTGACAAAGTTTTAAAGACAAATTTTATTTGATCTGTTGAGCTCAAAGTATAAGTTGAGGATCAGTCTCAGCTACTAACATTCCTAATTTTAGCTAAATATCTGTACAATTGATTAAGTTGTAGACATGATTGTCTCAAGTCAAGTCAAGTCAAATTTTATTTATATAGCACATTTACAACAACCTCAGTTGAACAAAGTGCTTCACTGCAATTACATCACATTTAGCTAAGAAAAACAATACATACACACATGCACACACATAAAATTACAATTAAACTGAAATTTGAAAAAATAAATAAAAACAATATTAGAATAAGCCG